AACTTTCACTTCTTATCTTCCTTCTGCACTTTCTTTTCTGGTTGAGTGCTTCTTTGAGGTGGCCATTTCTGACCACCGCTCCTACCGCCTTCGGGAAAGGGAGTTTGGCCAGCTGAGGAGGAAAGATGCGGCTCCCCTCGACCCTGCTGGCAGTCTCCCCCTTCTTCATCACCTCTACGGGGTGGCTTAGCCCCGAAGCCAGCTGGCTTGGGGCGCTCCAGCGGTGAGCCCAGGCAGAAACCGCGCACGATCGTGGATTCCTGCCTGCTGCCGAAGCCCTTCAAACTGGAAGTCCCCATGGTGTACTTTCTGAGGGCTGGGATAAAGATGTTTTAGATGATCATGTGGGAGGCAGATGTTTGCAAATGCAGCCTTCATACAGATACATTTCTCAAGGAACTGGATATTGCTGTGGTGCCCTTTCAGTGTGAAAAGATTTGTAATGCCACATATTGGGGAACAATGAGAAAACTAGGCAAAAAGGGAAACCACAAGCTTACCCACCACTTGCCACAAATAAACTCATATCCGTTGCAGAAGGCTAAATGGAAAGTTGGACAAATTGGCACATTAAGAGTAAAATGCCTTTGGAACAAAAGAATCTTCTTGTAAATTCTGGTAAGAGAAAATAAACACCCAGCACACAGTTCACTCATTAATCCAGCCTACAGATAAATTCCTCTTGATCCCAAATGAGCTAGGGCTGGTTGACACAAGCATATGCACCACTGGATTTCATAAAACTTTTTATGATTTCAACCTGAAGTGGTACCACAGCACTTCATTGTGTTTGAAGCCATTTCTGAGCTCTTGGACTTAAAGCTGTAATTACCTGATCATGTATGCAAGCCACAGCTTTATACATACTTAAAAATCAATTCACATAGATATCCCATCCACGAGGCTGCTGAAAGTAGAAATTTGGCAACAAGGGCTATGCTAGGTTGTCATGATTAGTCCCTTAATTTGAAATCCGTGAAAGAGAAACTGAACAAATCATTGCAATAAGGAATATCCAAATACTGTGTTGAAAATAGCAATAGCACTTAGACTTATACACCGCTTCACAGTGCTTTACAACCCTCTCTAAGCAGTTTACAGAGTGTATTGCCCTCAACAATCTGGGCCCTCATTTTACCCACCTCGGAAGGATGGAAGGCTGAGTCAACCTTTAGCGGACAGAATCAAACTCCAGGCTGTGGGTAGAATTAGCTGCAATTCTGCCTTTTAACCACTGTGCCACCTCAGCTCTCATATGAGGGAATCCCCAGAGACATTCAGTATGCAACTCCATGATGTACTGACTACAGTAAACAGCCTACCTTTGAATTTGTAAACAGAGTCAATAGTTTCATATTTGCTGATTGAAAATATAACTTTGATATGCTTTTTAATATTTTTGCCATACTTTAAATAAAACTAAAATAAACTGGCCTAGAGGTTGTAGAAGTAATATTGCAGCACATATCCTCTCAGACCATAAAGGCAGTCGGCAGAATTAGCCTGCAATACTGCATTCTAACCACTGCGTCACCACAATTCAAGGTAGTGTTTCCAGCTGTACACTGGAGAACAACCGGCCCAATGCTTTTAAAGTCCCAGTTCATCCCGTCAGTTTTCTCCACATCCACCTTCCCAGTCTGAAAGAAACTTTGGAGAAAGGCAACTCCTGGTGTTGTGAAAGGGAAACTCTCCCTACTGCTTCTTCTACAAAAGTCTTTTAGTTGCATGTTGATAAACTTCAAATCTGAAGCACTTTGAAAAGCACTTCAAACTCTTCATATATGAATTTATGTTAGGTCAGATGAGACTTACCCAGCCTATTCTCTGCTTGCAGCTGCCCAGGGAAGTAAAGCTACACGAGAGCCAAGAACATAATTTTGAAGTTTATTGTGGTCTGTCAGCAAACTTATGTTCTTGCCCTCCAGTTTTTCCCCCAAGTCCATATGTAAGCAGATAGGGCAGAGTGAAGTGTATTGAGGCAGGTGGTAGGGAAGCAGAATCATAACTTTAAAAGTTTAATGGGGAATCTCATTGTCTGGTGCTTATAAGCTCACCCCTCCTATCTACTCTGCTTAATTAGCCTTGGAGGTTGTTTTTTTTAAAAGTAATATTCCAAAAATCTATTGAACTAAAGTGACAGAGAAAGAAAGACCACACACAAGTAATGGGGAAAAAGTGAATATATAAATGAAAGCCAATAATACATCTGTTTTCAAGCTGTCGTCAGTTCTTGCAACCGCACTGACTGCCTGTATCCTTACATTCCTGCTGTTTGCTTGTTTCCAAGTAAAAGATAGGGGTTACCCTTTAAAACATCCTCAGCAGAACACATCAAGCTATTTTGTACCAAAGCTGAACCTTGGACTGCCTGGCTCAGAATTGTCCCTGTGCTGTTGGGAGCTCTTCAGGGCTTCAGACAGGAGACCTAGATGAAATGTCAGGGGCTGATTCACTCAGTTATGCCTCTCCCATCGAGGCAACTTCTTCTCTCATAATTCCACCTATGCCCTTTTCCTCAATGTCCCTCACCTCAGCATTTTCCTCATAGCAAAAATATAAAAGTCAGCCTAAGAAACCAAAGAATATACCTTGCCTCTGTTTTAGCTTTCCTTTTGTATCTTTCTGTTATACTTTAGCCTAGAAGCCAAACCAGTGCCTGTCTCTCCCTGGTGATTATCATCTAGGGAAGGGGTGAAGGGAAGTATTAAAGCAGGGGAACAAATTCTAGGTGTATCACGATGACATGTATTTTGATAATTTGTACATAGTATATATGTGTGCGGATATTTTTTACCTATAAATCTTTTCTCTCTCACCTTCTTTTTTTAGAGAAAAAAAGCACCAATAAAAGGTTTAATAAAACATTTCCTCAGGAAAAAAAATGAAAGCAAAGCTATATTGTTCATTTATTTAAATATAGCAAGCCACTCAAGCCACTGAGGGTCATCAACTAAGCCTTCATTTTGATGAATGGCTTCTTTGGCTCCCAAACTTCACTTTTCTCTAAGGCCATGGAAGGGAACTACCAGTCCACAGGCAATTTTCACCATAATTTCCATGGAAGGAAACAAGCCAAGAATCCAATGAGAAGAAAAGGGACAACCTATTTCTAGCACTTATCAGACAAATTATTGCAATCTTTTCTGGGCCAAGGTATAGAAGTGGTTTGTCGTTGCTTTCTTTAAGAATGGTCTTTTGATTTTCCAGTGTAGCTTACAGCTGTAGCATTTTTCTAATGAGATATCAGATATGAATCTGATAGTTATACTGATTTGAGTCACACCCAGTGATCCTTTTCATCGAAGAATCAAAATAATTTCCCCTGATGGCATCACAACCAACTGCATATTACATTGTTGTACATATCAACTTCTCATTGACACAAAAATCAGCTAATCAGCACTATACAAATTTCTAGTAAAAATCAGAACCAGATTTTCAGGGTATTGACTGGCTGGGTCTTTCATCACCCAGCCATTATGGGTTTCCTAACCTTGTATGGAGAAGTAAATGGATTATATGCTTACTGTGAAAGCACTGAGTGAACCGCCATAGTAGTTCAGGGCAAATGTAACCCATCCATATATACACTGTTTTTGTCCTGAATACAGCACAATGGCCAAGAATGGCTTAAGGAAGCTGCTGATGAGAGACCTCTTTAAAGCATTGAGAAAAATGTGGGAAAAATCCTGCATCTGAAGTTTGGCCAATTTCCCCCTTGCTCCAATGGTGTATTTGTTAAGATGTGGGCAGCTGGTCATGCTTCCTAAGAAGCTTGTACAACTGAATTATGATCAAGAAGATTTACATGTAAAGCTGAAAACATGCTAAGAGGTCAAATCAGTCTTTTTAGAGCCATAAGTGAAACCGTCAGTTAAAAAAAGAAAGAAACTGTTCTGTACGATCCATTAACATACTTGTAAATACCGCACTGTGATTGGTCGGGGCGCACGGCGACCTGATTGGTCGAGCGAGCCGCACTGATTGGCCCGCCGCAAATCCCCGCGATTGGTGGGAACTAATCACGGGAGATTCAAAGCGGTGCCATTGGCCGCGGCCGCCGCGGCCAGGGAATAAAAGCCGCCGCCGATCACCCAAAGCCCGAGCCAATCTCAGGACCTAATAAAGAGCTGAACCTTGTCACTGGCTCCCGAGTCTCCCTTCCAACAACGGACTTAACAGAAACCTTTCCCTTTAAGGCCAACAGTTTCCTCATTTCATTAATGTAGGTTGATCTGTCTCAACTTTCGCTGGCTGAGGAATTCTGGGAGTCCCCATATCAAAATTGCCAAGGCTGAAAAACACTGGTGTAAATTATGGAACTCCTGTAATGAATTTTTTTGAGCTCGGTTCTAACCCAAGTCAGATTTTTCAAGGTTGATTGTCTAAGATGGAGAGATGCGATGATTTGGGAAAACTAAAGAAAGTTATGCATGAAATTCAGGTTGCGAGGGAATATGCTTGTTTTGTTACTTTTTCCCCTTTTCCCCCACTCAACTGTTCAATTCTTGAGGATAAATTGATGGTACCCATCAATTAACAGCTAAACGGCTGGCAAGAATTAAACAATTTTTGTGAACAGATGGAGAAACACTTCTTGTTTGGACATTCATAAAATTGTTAAGGGCATGAAAGATCTGCTAGGAAAAAAACAGCAGCAAATTTTCCCTAATTCATCCCAATTTACATCTAAAAGATAAATGAGATCCCTTAAAGGCAAAGTTCAGCCACAAACAATACAGAAGAAATGGATCACCTGGCAATATTTTTTTTTAACAAATTTTATTCAGTTTTTCACATTAAATGTCTTTTTAGTGGACAACATATTTCCAGGTCATTACCTTTACATACAAATATGACAGCAATTCTACATTCATATATGCATACTTAATTCTATTATTCCCATTTCCTTTCCAAATTTTCAGTAAGGAGAGAAACAAACACATTAATTCTAGCCTCTTTCATTAATCTCAATCGAAACATCTTTTTGCTGGCAATATTTTTATTACTGAACACTTTCCTTGGCCACAAATCTGAGAAACAGGTCACATGCGGGGTGAGCCGGAGAATTCAGTCATATTTATTTCTTTTCAAACCAGTTCTAAACCATAATTTTATAAAGGAACAGGGTTTTTGATAATAATAGTCAAACATTACCTTTGATGTTTCCCAGGTTATTTGGCAAAAAAAAAAAAAAAAAAAACCAATAGCAATTTGAAAGGGGGTTTCAATTTTATTTGGGGGGGAACCCATATGCCCTAATAATGACTTAGAAGGCATCTCCTTAAAAAGATTTTGCCTGTGCATGGGATTTGTAGCCCAACACATCTGATGGGCAGTTGGGGAAAGTAATCCTGAAGAATTATGCTTTCAAGAGTACAGAGGCTATTTGGCACCGTGACATCAGACAGGAGACCTAGGGGACTAGGCTGTTGGCATGACATCAGTTCATCTGGTGAGAGTCTTTCCCCTCCAACACAGAATGCCCAATAATTGAGGGATAAAAGTGTTCTATCCTTTATAGATTTGTCTGGATTGGAACCCATCTAAACAGGTCTTTGCTCACTGTTTAAAGTCAAAGCACTTTCAGTCATATAATTTCTCTTTTAGATTCTCACCAGTGGTTTATTGGGTATGAATATGACATCATTTTGCTAAGGTATACCAGATTTAAAAAAAAATTGAGCAACTTAAAAAAAAATATCTCGGAGAAGGAGGATGCAGAGATAATATCTTTTCCAAAGAGGATGGTAACTTATGCTGCTGTGATTGGTGCAGAGAGTTTCACAGTACCAATGCTTGCTTCAAAAAATATTGTGATCCCATATGTCTTGGGAATAAAGTAATCCACATTCAAAGAGAAGAAGTATCAACAAAATCATTCGGCATCTGTCCCGAAGATGCTAGCAAATTCGGTAAGAAGCAACTCTACCACCTGATTCTGGTATACCATGTCCTCTATCAGGCTGGCTACATCTCGGTCATGTCGCAACAGCGTTGGCCCAAAAACAATGCCAATGTTCTGAGTTGTCATCCGGTTGATAGCTGAGTGATCCATCACTCTGAATGGGGGGAAAAAAAGCTACAGTGAGAACATCATAGTATTTTGGTCCCGTTCAATGCATCCATTGCTAAAGCAGACAGGTAGGTTTGAGATTTCATTTCTAAACATGGTGAAAATCACTTTCATTGATCTGTAATCAATTTGATTGCCTAAATAACAAAATAATCAAAGACACTATCAGTCAGGGCAACAAATCATAAGAGAAAGAGAATACAAAGTGTATGGAATCACTTCTTCTACAAAGCAACTTTTGGATATCCTGAATTTCTATTTCCATATTCCCAAAGTTAGCTCCAGGATCAAATTTACAGCCAGTTGCTCAACCATCCACGTAAGGCAATGTTTTCCATTTAAGTTCTCTTTCAGGAGGCAAAATATGAGGTTCTAGACCACATCTGATACATCTGACCAACATCTGATTTCCAGGAGATGTTAATCCACATATTCAACTCGGCTTGTCTACCAGATTTTCAGAGTCTCATGATTCTATATGAAGTTGGGGAATCCATTGCAACTGAGGTTAGGAGGAGATGGGACTGCCTGGAACCACTTCTGTAAATGGTGCTCAAGATCAGTGGCACTATGTAAAGTGTACAGGTCTTTCAAGAACTTAATAAGAGTAGAGTAGAGTAGAGTAGAGTAGAGTAGAGTAGAGTAGAGTAGAGTAGAGTAGAGTAGAGTAGAGTAGAACAGAACAGATCAGATCAGATCAGAATAGAATAGAATAGAATAGAATAGAATAGAATAGAATAGAATAGAATAGAATAGAATAGAATAATAGAGTTGGAAGGGACCTTTGAAGTCTTCTAGTCCAACCCCCTGCCTCGGCAGGAAACCCTACATACACCATTTCAGACCAATGGTTATCCAATCTCTTCTTAAAAACTTCCAGTGTTGGAGCATTCACAACTTCTGGAGGCAAGTCGTTCCACTGATTAATTGTTCTGTCAGGAAATTTCTCCTTAGTTTTAAATTGCTTCTCTCCTTGATTTGTTTCCACCCATTGCTTCTTGTCCTGACCTCAGGTGCTTTGGGGAATAGCTTGACTCCCTCTTATTTGGGGCAGCCCTTGAGATATTGGAACACTGCTATCATGTCACCCTGAGTCCTTTTAATCAAGATAGACATACCCTATTCCAGCAACCATTCTTTATATGTTTTTTAGCTGGCAATGAAATACCTGTTGCAACAGCAAAATCACTGGTACTTACAGTGCTCAGCCATAGAATATCACTATTGGACTGAAAATGTGCTCAGCTATAGAATAATAGTGCTGTACAGGTGGTCCTTGACTTACGGCCACAGTTGAGCTCAATTTTTGTGTTGTTAAGCAAGAAAAACGTTACGTGAGTTTTGCCTCATTTAACAACTTTTCTTGCCACAGTTGTTAAGTGAATCACTACAGTTGTTAAGTTAAAGTGAATTGTTGAGTGAATCAGGCTTTCCCATTGATGGTCAAAAAAAATCACAAGAGGTGATCACGTGATCTCAAGACACTGCAATTATGAGCCAGTTGCCAAACATCTGAATTTTGATCACATGACCACAGGGATGCTACAACAGTCATGAGTGTAAAAATCAGTCGCAACTCACTTTTTCAGTGCTATTGTAACTTTGAACGGTCATTAAATGGTTCTAAGTCAAGGACTATCTGTACTCAGTTGCAGGAAAATTCTTAAGTGTGAATAAACAAATTTTCTTTTAAAATGCTGATCCCAGGCTGATTTTTCAATTTTAGCCTCCAGCGTTAAAATATGCATAAGAAAATGTAATTGCAAGGATAGTCTACTTTTAATTAGTAGATTCTTTTTATTGCTTCTTATTCAATGATATAAGTGATTAATTGCTCTTCAATTCATTGGCTTTGCTTCCTACCTTTGAAAGAGAAGTTTAAGTATTAGTTTCCTTTTGCTATTTTTTTTCTGACTAGCGATTTTGTTTGCTTTGCTATAAAAGAAAAAAAGGGGGGGAGCTTAGTCCCTGACTTACAACAGTTCATTTAGTGACTGTTCGAATTTACAACAGCATTGAAAAAAGTGACTTATGACCAATTTCACACTTCTGACCATTGCAGCATTCCCATGGTCATGTGATCAAAATTCAAATGACTTATATTTATGACTGTAGTAGTGTGCCAGGGTCATGTGATCACCATTTGTGACCTTCTGACAAGCAAAGTCAATGGGGAAGCCAGATTCACTTTACAACTGTGTTACTAATTTTAACAGCTGCAGTGATTCCCTTAAATAACTGTGTCACAAAAGGTCATAAAATGGGGCTAGATTCATTTGTTTCACTTAGCAACCAAAATTTTGGGCTCAATTGTGGTTATACGTCGAGGACTACCTGTAACAAAAGCCTAGATTCTGCCAGGAAGAAAGTATTAATGGACACACTCGAGGTGAGTCATTTACCTGCGGAGGTGCTGAAGTAAGTAATGCAGGGTGTCCCGGTTTGGTTGAGGGAGAGACTGGATCAGCCCAGCAAGCTTTGACACTTTTTCCTTGTGATCGGACAACTCTGTGCAGAGGAAAGCAAAAAGATAGGTGGGGGAGGTTTCAGCTGAGAAGGCAACAAAAGACATTCTAGCTTCCAAAGGGCAGGTCAGAAATCTTCAGTGTTGTTATCAGAATTACATCTGGAGCACATTTTGGAGAAGAAAATAAATTGTAATTGGGATGAAAGGTGTCAAGGCTCCGACTAATGAACCCAAGCAAATCAGATCCCTAAGACTTGAATCCTCCTCAAAGGTCTTCTTTATTGAGTACATCATATCGGCACAGCTCTAAAGGAATACCAACTCTAAATCTTTCCCACGGTTTCAGTATAATTAAAATAGGAGGTAATCCCACCCGCAAGTGTCACAGGTCTCGTTGGCCAATTGGGTTAATTGGCCGGCTCTCCAGGCACTCCTTCCCTGACCTTATCCGTTGCCAGTAGAGATGACCTTGATTCTCAAGAGAAATTCTCTGTTTTGTCTAGTAAGGCATTTCAACCTCCTTCCCTGCTTCCCCCTGTGTGTGGCAGCCGAGGAACTGAAAAATGGCTGCTGCCAGGTTCGATTCGAAGTTGACAATAGGATTGTTGATTCAACAGTCTTACCACCACACCTTAACCATAAAAAAGGTGGGCTTGAGGCCAATGGCTCAAACAAATAGTGAATTATTATGAGTGATAAGGAATAAGTAGAGAAAACTGTTTCATGCCCTGTCATGGCAGGATGCATGACTACAGAAGCTAAGGGAACACAAACAAAACCATCTTCAGATCCACTAAAACAGTGGTCCCCAACCTTTTTTATGCCACGGCCCGGTACCGGCATCAGCTGGGCGCCGCGGCCTGGTACCGGCATCAGCTGGGCGCCGCCATTTTGTTTTGATGAAAAAGTGCTTCCGGTGAGCTTTCTACCCGGAAAAGCTCACCAGAAGCACTTTTTCATCAAAACAAGATGGCGGCGCCCAGCAAACCAGCGGCCCGGTAGGATTTGTTCCACGGACCGGTACCGGTCCACGGACCGGTGGTTGGGGACCCCTGCACTAAAAAGCCGGTTTGAGAGCTGGCATGAGTATACCTGCCTTGATGATGTCTCAAATGCTAAGCAATGAGAGTTTTAACTGAATTATGCTGAAAGTTCCAGGAACAGAATAGAATTTGAAAAATGATGGAGAGCAAGAAAAAAAAAAGTATTTTTCACACTGATCATTAGGATTTTAAGATTCCCCAGCTCCTCTAAGCAACGTGACATTTGGGCGCAACTTAAAATAAGGCAGTAATTTTAGGTCTTCTGCATCGAATGATGTATTATGTTCCTAAAGCAAAAATAATAATAATATACCTGTAGATAATTTGAAGTACATCTCAGATTGGAGAATTGGTATTAGGAAAGTCTGAGGTGTTTTCCCATGCCCCCCCCCCTTCCAGGGAAAACCAAGATAGACAATTTCATTTTATATAGCACCTTTTCTAAAAATGAGTTGCAATATTACAGAAAAGTCACAGGTTTTTAATCCTGGGCTCAGAATTAACCTCTTCTGGGATCATATATTTGTGTTTGTCAATGCAGAAGAGTAAGGAGTAAGAAGACGACTTACTGACGGACGCTATACATTCATCAATGTAGCTGTAGGGCACAAGGGATTCAGGTAACTCTCGGAAGAAAAGCTTCAGGGCCCCTGTTATCACATGCACATCATCCCACTGAGGACTGGCCAGGTTCAACTTCTCCTCTAGGGGACAAGGAAGAAAAAGACTTCAATGACCCTCTAAAAGGATGCAAATGACCAGCTGTCTGCAAGGAGTATAAATCCTTCCATTCCCCACTATCTAGTCAGAGCTGAAGAAGCTTCTTGGAGGAGAAGCGAAACATCTTCAAAGAAAAACCAGGAAGTCCAGCTGCCTCTTGAAAAAAGCACCTTTGGGAAAAAGACTGATTCACCAAAAAGGACGGAGTCATACCAAAGGGGACCTTTTTCAATGTAACATCTTTCTGTTTTGTTGATAGAATCACCAAATATATTAAGGGGCTGAAGTATAAACCCTAATCAAATGGAATGGGTCAACTCGCCATGGCCAACCCACCACGGTCAACTCACCATGGCCAACTCATCGGTAATCATTTGTATCTGGCTACCTTATACTGTTACACATTTGTGAACCCATTAGTTTCAATGAAAGACATTTGGGGTATAATCCAGCAGCTGCCCAATGAGTGGTTTCTTTAGTGAGACAGTTTCTAGGTCACTGTAGGAGTCCCCAACACATCTGTGAAAAGCTCTGCATGTATAGATAGCAAGTCCTTGAAAGGCCACCCCGCCTTCTTTTCCTGACAGAACTCCAAAGGCAATATTCTCACCACTGCTCTAGCTGATACAGCTAATGTCCCTTTTCCTGGGGCAGCTGAAAGAAACTGCAGAGACTGGGGCGGAAGGGGAGAAGACATTTGGTAAACTCAGATTTCTCTCTCTCTCTCTCTCTCTCGAATTAAAGCAGCTTAATTGTAGCTAAGACAACAAATCCAACTTGAGTCACGAGAGGCTACTGTGACCCATAAGCTAAAAGAAGGATCGTCCAAGTCCAAAGATAAATATTTATTTTACCACATGAATATGGCTGCTCATCTTATACAAGGATGCTGAACAGTTAATAACCATCAACAGATATAATCCGTTACAAATCAAACAACACAATGCATTATAAGCATAAGATATATTTACATTTTCAATACTTCACTTTCGCCACATAATTTTTCCCCATATATTTCTGTGTTCCAGGATTCCTTTTATGTAACTGGAACTCTTATTAAAAAATAGTATGCTTGTCTCAGTGGATCAGTGGATCCTGAAACTTTCAGACTAAACATAAGACTGCCTGACACAAACATTGGATTCCCTTTCTCTCTTTTTCTCTCTTCCTCATTCTCTCTCTCTCCTCTCTCTCTCATTCTCTCTCTCTCCTCTCTCTCTCATTCTCTCCTGTCTCTCTCTCATTCTTTCTCTCTCTCTCCTCTCTCTCTCATTCTCTCTCTTATACTCTCTCTCTCTCTTTCTCTTTCTATCTCTCTCTCCCCCCCACATTGGTCTGGGTTTTTATCCTTAAAAGGAACAGAAACTCCTTTGGGGATTGTAGCATTTTTAAAAATTATTCCCTTTGAAGGAGACTTGTAAGAATTCAGAATTTGTACCCAACATTCAAAACCTAACTTGGTTTCATTAAAATCCCCAGCTTTTTCCATGGCTTCTGGGTAACCAGGGTTGCTATTTCAAAGATTGAGGGACAGAAACATTACCTTGGCAACGTTGCTCTGGGAAGACATACCGCCCATCGGATGTCACTGCCCGTTCTGCAAAGCAGCACAATGGTTACTGAGGATGTCACAGGAGAAACAATATCTTGTAGCAAAGGATGAAGACAGGTTTGACAGTAGCCAGAATGTGTCCATACATTCTGGATGAGTTTATGGAGTGCTGAAACCTAAGATGGCTTGTTTATTGGTTGTTGTTTTTTCCCTGCAGTGTAGGAACCCAACCATTGTCACCTTGTCATTTGTTTTCTATCCTGCTTTCAGCTCTGGTAAACAGAATTTTGATCCATTTTTTAGAGGGGTTTAAGATCTTCTGCATTGTCTAGCAAACTTTATGTAGCTGTAGCAACTGGCATAGTTCTGACTACCTGCTGTCACTCAAGCAGAATTGGGATAGGTGGAGAATGCTGTAAATCACGACCTCTCTGACATGGAAGATAATTACTTCCACATTAGATCATAAAACCCACAAAGTAGCTGACCTCATCAAAGGGCTAGGGATGAGAAGAAGATTATGTCACATGGATATGTCCTTGGTTAGCAAGGCATCTTTGAGGTAAAATGAGGAAATACATATATTGAAAATTATAGACGACGGCAAGGCTGACCAGAGGAACAACATATCTCATTTTACCTCAAAGATGGCTTGTTAAACATTCTTCAAGGAGATTATATGTGTGCGTGTGTGTGTTTTATATATATATAATACCCGAACAAAGCTGAATACCATACATGTAAGTACCCGCGAAAATTTAAGAATATATATATATATATATATCTCCCTGTAACTCAGAGTAAAGTTGCTGAGGTTGAGAAACACTGCAAA